GCCTAGGATTACCTTTACTGTCGACATATCCATGACCGCAGCGAAGGTGAGCGCATAATTGATGCCGAAAACTTGCTCGTTCCCACACGCAACTAGCCGCGCCTTGAGACGCTCCACCGCGCTATTCGCATCTGCTTTGGTCTTGAATACCCACTTACCGTGCAGCATGTTGGCCCCAGCCGGTCGCTTGATCACATTTTAGACACCATTGTTTTGGAGAGCGAGGATCTTCTCGAGCATTTCCTTTCTCCATCCTTCAGCTTTCGTGCTGCGCATTGCCCCCGCGTGTGTCTTGGGATCATCTTCGTTAACTTGCATCACAGCTGGTACATCATTTGTCACGTGTTTACTGTCTTGTGCCGCTCGCTTGGCAGCCCCTCGTGTGGCATGGGATGCACTTACCCACGATTTCTGATTAGCCTTACCCTTTGTTTTAGCTACGACGGGGACAATCAAAAATGTTTCCTCCTCAGGTCCTGCGTCGTAGAGTAGCTGCTCGCTGTGCTTGTCAGAGGGTGTCTTAATATTCTTGACGTGTTGGGTCACGATCATTCCGTTGGCCGTGCGTATGAACACACGATATCCTTTGGTCTCGTTGCTGCGACCCACAATGATAACAATCTGAGCCCGATGTGCAAAGGAGTTCTTCTTCGGGTCACGGTACACTGTGCACAACGAACCAAAAGTAACGATATCACGAAGATCGGGTGCTTGACTTGTTAGCACCTTGATTGGTGATGCTCGGTTGACGTTCGAGCTTGTGGGACTGCGATTCAGTATGTACGCTGAGTAATCCACCGCATCTACCCAGAAATTCAGCGGGAGCTTGCTTGCAAAAGTCATTGAGCAGGTCATTTTAGTTCCGTTCGGTGCATGCGCTCTGCCTTGCCATTTGATGCTTGATTTCTTGCTTCGCTCACCTGCCGTGACACGCCGGCTGACTTGCAGAACAAATCAACGTTCCAGTATTCCCCACCCCCATCTGTGCGTAGCACATGAATGCGACATTCGATGCGCTTCTCAAAACACTACGAATTCTTTGAACCTTTTCGCTGCTTGATCCTTGGTGCGTGCCAGAAATACGCGGCAGTAATTGCTCTTGTAATTGACAAAATTAACGAGGTACCGATTCCCAAGGCGGTCTCTTGGCGTCATCGGTCCCTTAAGGCCTGAGCAAATCATATTGCCGATGTGATCGATCGGGGAGTGCACATCCGTATCTTTCTTTGACTGCGCGTTCTTGGTTTGCTTACTCTCGGCGCACGTGACGCACACCATGCGTCGACAGTCCGTGAGCTGAATTCCAGAGTCGGGCTCGAGCGCCATTCTCTCGATTGTGTCGTACGATAGGCGCCCGAAACGCTGTTGGAAATGCATGAGTGCTCCACGCTGCACGTTTTCTCAGCGCTCCTTCACCTTAGTAATCGATGCCACGATGGAACCAGCCTTGCAAATGTTGTCTCGTTCGGCTTGCACTTCTACAACAAGCACATTGTTCTGCATTGCAACATCAAAGACGACGTCGCCGGTGTTGAGCGATCTTATCGTTCGCCGATCGTTTGCGTAAGCGAGCTTGTATCCCTTGAGCTCGAGCTTGCCGTACGACAAGATATTGCGGGCTAGCTTTGGTGCGTAAGAGACGTCCGTTAGGCGAACGATGCTCGGCTTGCCGAGCGCCATTACCGCAGTAGCACGCTACCGACCAGCGTCAGCTGAAGCATCTTGCCATCGGCAACCAAACACTGATCGTCACATTCTCGAGCATCTTCGAGTAGCGT